TTCTACTTGGTGAAACACTGTTCTTATATTTTCCTTTAGTTCTTAGTTCTTTAGACATACCTTCCTTTACTTCTTTGAATATATTTAAAATAGCTGATTTAACAACTTCGTCTAATAAGTCCAACATACTGGCTTCCTCAAGAACAGTTTCTATCCATTGCTTCTTTTCCTACATATGGGCCATATTTTTTTGTTCTTTGTATCTCTCAGAATTTTTTGTTGAAAATTGCATGTTTTAGATAATAAAATATTGCAACACTGAAAATCAGAATCTCTCCCTGCCACCTAAAGGTTTGTTGTTGTTTGGCTAGTGATTTTCCTAGACTATCTACAGATTCTGTATTCTTTGTCATAATGTGTCTACTGAAGTCCCAGCCTGGTTAGCTGAGTGGTCAGGTAATGGTTGGACCAAGGTTGGACAAGGCATTTCTTTAAATGCCTTGAACCAATAAGTCTCCAACCTCTGCAGAGGTACTCTTTGCATGTGTTGGGGCACACCTTCAATGTTCAAGTAGACAGTTTACAAGTCTGCCTTAGTCTTCACTTCCTGCCTGTATAGAGCCTCAAGGTCACCTACAGGTAAGAGCTTTGTACTTTGTCAACTCTGTTTTTGCAGTGATGGGTTAACTAAGAAATTCCTTTGAGTGTTTTACAGGATTAAGCAAATAAAAATATATTGAGAATAATGGAATGATAAGTTTCTCAAATATGGAAAAGGAAAGCCTAGAACAAATCTGTGGTACTAGACTGGAATTTCCTAAGAACAAGACATTCTCTTTTATAACCACAACATAGTTAGCAAAATCAGGTATCAGCATAAACTCAAAGTTTTTAATATAAAGATCAATAAAAAGTAAGTACGAATCTCTAATTCATCGACTGATGGCCTGGAGCAGTGACACCTCATTAGCAATGCATGTACATAGTATACTGATGTTGTTTTGAAATACCATTTGCTACTAAATGGAAGTAGGAGGGTTCCTTAAAGAAATGTCTGATTCCAAAGCTGGGGCAGGGAAAAAAAATAAGTGTACCTGAAACATCTTATTGTGCCAGAAGGTAAAGAAATGCTAAAAGAATGATAAGGACATGTCAAAAAGACACTAAGAATAGCTTAAAAGGACTCCTAAGGACCAAATCTGAGGTAATTTAAACCTCAAAATAAATAATGACAGTAATAAATTGTAACTCTTTGAGTAAAACAGGAATTCATTAATCTATACCAATATAAATGGGAAAGATAAAGCTCTTCTTCATAATAAAGTGCCAACAAATAAATGTTAAAGGAAAGATGGAGTTATAAAACCACGATTTGAGGAGCGCCTGGGTGGCTCAGTCAGTTAAGCATCCAAATTCAGCTCAGGTCATGATCTCCCAGTTTGTGAGTTCCAGCCCCCCATGGAGCTGTGTGCTGACATCTCAGAGCCTGGAGCCTGCTTCAGATTCTGTGTCTCCCTCTCTCTTTGTCCCTCCCCCACTCACACTCTGTCTCTCATCTCTCTCAAAAATAAACACTAAAAAAAAAAAAAAAAAAAAAAAA